AGAAGTTTTGAACTTATATCCCTCCAGAATATCGGAAGCTTTAATAACGGTATAGGACGCAGTCACCCGTGCCATATCTGTTTTTGGTGGAGTATCTGCAGGAGGCTGAAAAAGGTGTAAGAAAAAGGAAGGGAGAAAAGCAGAGCACACATCTAACATCATATCTTACGGCAATAATAAGTTATTCACTCGGTAATTTATTTTGTTTTATTTTATGTTTATTACTCTTTTGGCGATACACACATGGTTGTTTATTCTTGTTCTGTGTTCATAAACACGCTCATTAAGCTATTCACGTATTTTGCAACTCCTTAATCTCTATTTTTTTAGTTTCTTCCTTTCTTTCTTTAAAATCAATTCAAAACTCTTGTCAATCACTCAGAACCTGATTTATTATTACTATTCTATTATTATTATTTTATTTTCCTTTCCTTTTTCTTCTCGAATATGGAAAATATAATGCGAACATTATTGAAACCTGTGTATTATTGCATTTTTGAAGAAACCCGAAGCGGTATCTTCACAACAATTATGTACTCATTAGATGTTTGTGAATAGTAATCCGTTCTGGGTTTTCACAGCTTAGTCTTGGTTTTCTGTTGATGTAAAATGTTATTGTCTGGTGAAGATGTAGCGATATTATTGAACATTTCTAGTGTTTCCGGAAACTTACCACAAATTACGTAACCGTTTCAGTCAGAGTGGTGTTTTTGAAAATCGGGAATCTTTCCAGTCATTGTGTGCATAGCCTGTAGATTGGAAACGCGTAGTTGTCTTCTTGGACTTGTTTTAATTGGAAGAAACGGTAGAGTGGAAATGATCCTTTTATGAATGCCTTTTTGAAAATTGTTGCTAACCACTTGAGTCGCCGATGTGACATTTTGAAAGAATGCCATGTCGAGAGTTTTATGGTTTCGTGTAGGCAGGTGTAAATGTTGCTACCAACCGTGCATGTCCAATGGGATAAGATTGCTTGAAACCACAGTGGGCCAGAGAGTATCTTTCAGTTGGTGCTTGAGAGATTAAAATGGACACAAGTAACTTCGCAGGTGAAATCAAGAGAGTAAGCCTTCGCGAATGACTCACATATAGTAGCGTCAGTTGAACTAAAAATGCTTGGAGCTGGAATATATACGTTTATTCGGTATTTTACATTTATTAGCGCGTACAGTAGGCCATATCGAACTCGATTATCTGCTGAAAACAGCATTGTTATGGATTTCCGCTCTCATATTTTTAGATGCATATGTAGTGATATTGGGCCTAAGCACACAGTCCTCAAAGCTTAACATGAGGTAACTGGGAAAATAGACGTTCGACACGTAACACTAAGAGAAGGTCAAGGATGATGAACGCGGAAATATTCATTCGGTCTACGCAGGTTAAAAGATAAGAGTATGCGTTTGAATCTTGTAAGGGTCCTACCAAATGCAGATGAACATGGTCGAAACGAACACTCGGAGTTTTGAAAAAGCCTAAGGGACATTTGTTGTTTCCGATGACCTTAGATTTCTGACAGCTTACACAGGAGCGTGCCCACTCCCTCACATCTTTATTCATACCAGGCCAGCAAAACCGTTTTGCTGAGTCGGATGCGTCGATTGCGATACTAATGGGCGGTTGAGTGTCCTGATGTGCCATCATGGTTGCCTTTGTGATAAGTTCTTTAACTGTGGAAAATACTTTTCGTGAAGTGTCGTCCAGACTGATGGATTACTCATTTCCACGGAGTTAGTCGGTCGGCGGTTTCATGAGGGATGCACATTTTGGTATGAACCCTCTATAGAAACTTACTAGACCGTTAAATGTGCGCAATCGCTTGATGGTGGTCGGTTCTGGGTAATCCAGAATGGCCGCCACTTTGCTTCTAAGAGGTTGGGTGCCTTGAGCATCAATAGTGTGTCCTCAGAAATCTAAGGAGTTGGTTACGATTTGGCATTTCTGAATGTTTACAGTAATGCCATGCTTTTGCAGTCGTTCGAGCACAATGCCCAGATGCTGAGGATAGGATTCTCTGTTCGGACTTAGTATCAAGCAGTCATCAACATACGCATGTACGAAGTTGAGATCTGAAAAAACGTCATCTGTGAACCTTTGGAAGGTTTGGGCAGCGTTTCTTATTTCGAAAGGCATTCGTGAAAATTCGTAGAGTTCGAAGAGAGTGATGATAGCTGTTTTTGGAATATCGTCAGTAGCTATAGAGATTTTATTTTAGGCTTTGACGAAGTCCATCTTCGAAAAGATAGTTGTACCTTACAAGGTAGCTGTCAAATCGTAAATATGAGGCAACGGGTGATAACAAGGAATGATTTTTGAATTTAAACGCCGGTGGTCACCAGTTGGAGGCCAATTGTTGCAACCGGAAAAGTAAGTTACGAAAACTGATAACTTAGCGTTTCCGCCTACTAGCTTGCGTTTGCGCGTATCGATGAGTAGATCGTGGTGTTGTAGGAGGTCTATACCAATGATGGAAACATCCGCCACAACGAAGCTCCAGTGAATGGGTTTGCGTAAACTCACGTTGAGGTAAACGTATCTTTTACCATACGTGGCGATTGGCTTTCCGTTTGCCGTCTCTAGGTTTAAAACAGATTCGTGAAGCCGGTCGTTAGAATTCGCATGAAGAACTCTAACTTCGGCGCCAATATAGACCAGGTAGCGAACTTTAATTATCACAATTGCGACTTTTGACAGATGCCTATGTTAGCCGGCTACGGTTGCCGTTAATGCGTACAGGCTGGGAAGTTTCCCGAATTGTTTTTCGTGTCATTCGATTTTGCGTTCGGATAATTGCGGGGTTTTCTGCTATTTCTGAAAGACTCATTTACTGGTTACGATACCAGCACCGTTCGAGGTCTAGAGGCAGATCGCCTACGTGAAGTATGTCTTCGCGGGGTACGTGACTGTTTACGGTCATTACGAAATCTAAGATGTGTAAATGCATGACATAATTCTATAATGTCATTCAGGGTCGGTTGAAGTTTTGCTTTGACTGAAAAAACCTCCATACCAAAAGATTTCATGATTTCTAGGGTGCTGTTAGCAGATGCAGCCAGCTCGTCCACAGCGTTGTTTTGAAACGAGACCAGTACAGCTTGCACCTCTTGAGGAAGTTGGGATAAGAAAAGCTGTTTGAACAGACCATCATCGAAAGTTCTTTTGCCGATAACCTTTACCACTCCTAGCAACATGCCTGTTTCAGAACCATTTTGCAGGTCAATGTTTTTAAGCTGGTGATCCAACCTTTGTCGATCAGTTAAATCTCCGCGCCTCAGAATCGACTGGTTGAGAGTTTCATAAGGTTCCGAAACATCACCAGTAAGCATACTAGGTGTAACGTTGATGCTTTTACTACCATGAGGAATTGTGCGCGTGGACCAGTCATGCCGTGCTCTTAGAAGTCAGCCTCTGCGTAGCAGAACCAAGCTTCGATATTGTCCGGCCAAAAGGGCATTAGGTGAAACGAGGGTGGTGTAAGAGCCTTGATCTCAAGTAGCTTAGGAGTCTGTTCTGTCATGGTGAATTTAAAGTATAGGGATGAATGAAGGTAGAATATTCAAAAATAAGAAAAAAGATATCATAATATATGAAAAATAAAGCAACACAATGATTTATGAAACACTAAAAATGAACAGATTCACAGTTTATGGGTAGGTGTACCAGATCACGTCGGGCTCATCAATGATGATGCCACAGGTATTATAGTTTGGCAACACTTTACCAGCAACACCTATAGTTGAATCATGCCCATCCAGTGGAATCAAAATTCAGAAGCGAGGAGGTTGGAAGATATATTTGATAGATAATCAATATATCGAGAAGTGACTGATTTAAACTGGCCAGTGGTCGCAGGAGAATTTGAGCACGGCGTCCCTACTCATAATCCGGTGCGGATGCATGATCGAGCGCCTTCAGCTAGGTGAGTCCGTTAAACTCAATATGGTCAGCATCCAGTTTTACAAACTTACAGAGCTATGGATTTTGGGGGTTTATTTACCGCTACAACGCTAATCAACCATATAAAGAGAAACGGGTGCAAGAAAATTAGACAACAAGTATTTACAGATAAATGCACACGACTTCTAATACATATCTAACCTTAGTCTAAGGAGTCGTTTGCACTAAGCAGTTTTTCTTTGGTATTCAAGTTGGCTTTTAGACTCAGTCTGCTGTCTAGAAAATAGGACTGAGCTATGATTTAATAGAGTTATATATTTATAGACACATATATTTTTAAAAGTCTGAACCGTTTGATTTTCAAAATTACACCTACTTAAGATCGCTGAAATATAAATCAAAATCACCAGAGATACTGCTGACTTGACAGACAGAAGCCATAATAACAATTATACTCAGGCGGGGATTTTACTTAGTCAGACTTTGAGTAATGCAGAATGAGCCTATTGCAAAAGAATTAAAGGCAGTATATTATGGTGGTAAACTATTGTTCACCATCATTTCTATCCTGAAAGCGTAACTCTATGATACTATAAAAATAAAAGACCAGACCAGCTGAAGATACCCTGCTAACCATCATTGTGGCATCCCACCACATCAGATAGTTCTTCACCCTCTCAAAAAGTTGACCTGAACATCTTATGTCCATCTGTTTATACATTTTTCTCTGACGAGGTTTCCGGTTATCGACGTTTTATCCCTTATTCGTCTCATGGCTACATTAAGTGATGGATTCTGATACCAACACAGTACGATTTTGTAGTACCGAAGATATCTCAAGAGTTCGTCATGAAAGAAAGTATCACCGGAAAGTCCATTTACAGTTGTCGTAATAAACCAAAAAAGTAATGCGAATACTCATTTATGATTTATTTTAAAGCTTATTGATATACATTCACTATTGCATTTTATTTTGTTTAATCATTCCACAACTCCACACTATATTACTCAACACCTTTCAAAAATACTCTAGATTTCCATCTGTTGACTGTTAGAGATTCCTTCGTCAAGTCATTATTTAAAATTTATTTTTCTACAATAAAATGAATACTTCTGAGTTGAGTGAATGTGAATCTTCACCAAGTATTCGTGTGCATAAGCGTGAAACAAAGCACAGGTAATCAGTATTTTAAAGAAATAATGTACCATTCTTACAGAATATTTGTCAACCGGAGCCTGCAGCTAGACAAGATAAAGTTTTTCGGATTCGATATGGACTACACTCTAGCACGTAAATTTCGTTAATTTTCTTTTCAGAAACAACACACTTCAAATCTATAGAGTATAAATCACCACAATATGAAGAGCTTGCATTTAATATTATAAAAAGCCGGCTGATAAAACTTGGCTATCCTCCGAAAACGTCTGATTTTGTTTATGATCCTTCGTTTCCACTGAGGTTAGTTGAATCGAGTATTACGTATAGTGTTTGTGGTTTCCCTGTTGGTAATGTCGGATTTCTTATTCACGCACTGCAAAGTCATTTGACTTATTTATGTTCATACTCAATTAGGTGAACGTCCGTGAGTACAATAAGTCAAAGAAAAAATATCTGTTATATTGATCTCCCAATAGTCCATTTTGTGTGGAGACAATTCGATTTCAGGTATAGTGTATAACGATTGCACAGATTTTTATGACTAGATAATTTCTTAGGTTGACTGTCAAAAATAGCCTTCATTTTCTCGAGTCCACTTAATATTCTCTCAAAAATGTAATAAAATATATTTCATCGACGTCCACAACTTTGTTTTGTTCATTACACTTTAAGTGTATTTTTAGTTAGATGATAATTGTCTTTCTTTACACCTGTTAAAACGTTTGGTATTGTCTTGTATTTTAGAGGCCTGTGGTTTGATCGGCTTTATGGCACTCTTTTGAAAATGGATCAATTTGGCAATATTCTTTCATGTTTACGTGGATTTAATTTTATCCAAAGGTAAGTAGCCAAATTAAATGTCTTTATAGCATATAGGGAAGAACTTCGATCAATGTATCCAAATAAGTTTGTGAAGTACGACGAGAAACGAATTGAAATAATGAACACTTTATTCAGTCTTCCAGGTACAAAAATTCTTCAACCAATTCATCTTCTTAGAGACCTACATACTCTCATGTATAATCCATATGTTCGTCAACGATCCTGACTACACAAAAGTGGAGCATGGTGTCAAAAAGGGATCTCTGTATATGTCATACGCTTCAATTTATGAGGATGTGAGAACTGCATGTGATTGGATGCATAGAGTAGGTAACAGTATACATTTTCCAAATATTTCTTTGAATTACTTTTCCTTTTGATTTTAATGGCGTTGTTTAATGGTGGATACCTTGTTTACATATTTCGTTTAAATCTGTGGCATTCGATGAATCTACTTCTGATTCAAATTTTTCTGATTCCTTCGCAGTCGGTTGTAGACTAACTGACAACCAATCATGGACAAATTTTATCTGGTGCTCGACAGATATTTGGAAATGTGTATACACATTGAGTAGTAATATGTTGTTTTTGGTTTCGTTATAATTTCACTATTATACGTAGTAAACTGTATATATGGTTAGTGCTTAGGGAATATATAAGTTGGTGACCACCTTTCACATTGACTTGGATTCTGAATTCAATGGATGTGTGTAGTTAAAATTGAGAGGCGTTGAGTACACAAGGTTAACTTTCCAGTGGGGCGTACTTAAGCGTAATAGTTTTACGAGATTTCCGTCAATAATCATTGTTCTTTTCCGTTTCAACAGTAAACCACAAGTCCTGCAAGATAATCTAGAGGAGTTTAGTTCTGTCTGCCTATCTGAAAATATAAGATAATTTCGAAATATACATACTGGTTAGAAATTACTTGGATGAAACTCGGTCGGTTTAAGGGGCATAACTGCGTTCATTTCCTTTATCCTGTCCCAAATTTATACTTTTTTATTGAGTTGTCGAATCGCACTTTTCATTGTTATTTATCGTTACTAATATTGCTACCAGTTCTCTGATATTCGTCCTAATAATTTCGTCTCACTGTTTTGATATATTGTGGTAACTTAGGCTGGTGCATATTTGTACCGATGACTAGGTGACTGACTCAATAATTTAATTGTTCGATCTTGATGATATTCTAGGATAAATATTTAATGTATGGTGTACGGATACTTCGACTTACGATGTTAGGTAAATAAGTAGTGCAGATAAATTCATAAATTTCCTGAATTAAGCTTATATCTCTATTGTATGTTATCCTAAGGTTTCTGTTTCAATTACGTTGAGATTCCTCAACGATCCTGATACTATCGGTCCACCTTTTGTCCGGAATTGTGAAATCAGTGGGAAAACGTACGTTGGAAGATGTTCCGATGAAAACACGCCATTCGGAGTAAAAGTAAACGTCATGTATTAATCTACCTTATTAGATTCCCACTTCTATTCTGAAGTCTCATTATCTGAGTTCGGTTGATCAATAACAACATTTCGGCACAAAAATTGTTTTCCTTTTTTTCGGTAGACTAATATATTACATTAGTACATGTGTTTATTAACTACTTCATGGAACTGTGCCGGCTAAGACCGAAAACGTAATCGTAAATAATGGTTGAGAGCCTTTTTAAAATAGTTCAAAACCCTTTGTTGTCGGTGTAGGTTTGTTCATTCTTTATCTTTCTTTGGATTTAGGTCTTTAGTACTTTCTTTTCTGCATCTTTGTTCCTCTCGCTGGAGCTTTTATTCACGTTTTGGTGTTGTTTTTAACTACACGTATTTGGCTTTTGTCGTGTTAATGTTTCGATATTCTGGTATACAATGTGTTGATTTGCGTTGATACAATTCTCATCAGGTTTACATTTGTTTGTTTCCCGAAAAGTAAATGGTTATAGTTAAACCCGTCTGAGGTATCTATGAAACAGCTTCTATCTCAACTTAAACTTCTGACTCTAACTAGTGGATGAGGAACAAGATAGCTGAAATATCGTTGTTCATCTTAATGAATTCTAAGTTATGAATAATTAACTTAGTTCACGAACGTATGAAATGGAGATAAGGTTGGTGAAATATGGATCCTGCCAAAATCAAGTTATTACTGGAGCGGAATCTCAAGTTAATCCATTTAGTTACAAGTCCAAAGTACACTTTAACCTCATACCTAGTTGGAAATAATTAGCTTAGCGCACGAACGTTTCAGTTGACTAGAATGGGGTATTGCTGTTGTAGTTTGACGAAAGTATTGCTAAGGTCTTCCTACTAGGTTAAAAATAATGATAATACTTCTCAATGTGAAATTCGTCAATTTTGATTTCATTCTTTAACTGAATTTTCCTATCATATTATACTATCATGAAAAAGGATTTCACTCAACTTATCTTGAATAGTTCATCATTATATAAGTGTTCCTCGATCATCACATTGTGGTTTCAATTCTCACAAAATAAATATTGAAAATTTACTGTACTTTAATGAAACTTACACCCTTTAACTTTTTTGTAAATTTTGTTTCAGGGAGAACTAAAACAACGTACTTTGGCAAATATTAGTGAATATGTTGAAAGAGATCCACGTTTATGTACTTTGTTAGATCGGTAAATTTGTTTCATTGTCTTATCGTATACCTAATTTATTATTTAAAAGGATTGGATTTTTTTTTGAACGATAAAATATTTCACTGTTATTTTTTTGTATTATAGGCTACGAGTGAATGGTGCAAAAGTGTTTTTGTTAACAAACAGTGACTTTGAATATTCTCATGTAAGATAGTTTTCTCTTTTTTTACCATAAAAAATTTATTTATTTATTTATTTAAACACATAAATATTGGTATAAGGAAGCACCAGATAAATATGCGCCTCACAAATCTCATTTGATTTGTGTGAGAGCTATGATACTGCCCAAATGCCCAAACTAAAGCAGGTGGTTTTCTTAGGGGGCCACACCCCGAGCCTTTGACCTAAAGGTCTAACCCACAAGGCAGTGGAGCATCGTAAGGAGATGCATTCCCATGGTAGCCGGTGACCGACGATTGGTTCATACGCCATTTGTTCCCTTCAGGATACTGGAGCCCATGTGCACTATTGGTTTGGGATCAGGGTTTTCCAACTCCCCTAGGTGGATTTTCCGTGTTCACCAACCCGGTTCGGGAGCCGGACATTCGCTTTACATCCTCTAAATTTCGTAAACAACAGTAATGTCACGAGAAGGCATTGAGTAGGACTTCCGTGACAGAAGCTATATATTTGTGTGGCCATGTGAGATCATTTGGAGAGGGAAAGCGAACTCTCCTCATTCTCGGTCGTACCAGGGTATTTGGGGGCATAAAAAAATCAAGTATTAATTGTTTTAATGAAATAATAATAGTTTTCTGGTTTGTAATTGAGAACTATTGGTTGGTTCTACATCATGTATTTTTATCGTTACTTTTCCAATATTTTCAAGTGATGTGACTTGTCTTCATATATCTTAAAATAGAATCGATAAGTTATATGTGGTACACATTTTTTCTTGTTTGATTAAAAAACAATTATTAAATTCGAATTGTTGTTTCCATTTTGATTCCTGATTAAAAATGATCAGAAACTTTAAATTTTCATGCAACTTTTCATTCGATGCATGTTTAATTCCAATCACTAAAGAAACAATTCTATAAAATCTTTACATATTAGTGTTTTACACCTCAGTATAGTCCAGTCGCTATTTTTCTACCTAATGATACTTTAGTCAACACAGAATACATAGACAGTTTGGTTGTGTTCAAGGAAAGCAATCGTCAGTCAGTCAGCTACAATGTGGGACTAGGCGCATATATGCATCGCTGCAAGTTTCTACACCTAATTGGCACAAAAAGATAAACACCAAATTTATGGAAGCAGTTTCTTCAATCGTAGTAATATATAAAAGTGAGATTGCATATAAAGATATAATACAGGGAAAAAGAATTTGCTGGTAGAAAGGAAGGTATAAAGCAATTTTAATCTCACGGTTTAAGTGCAGACAAAAAGTGTATACACCTGCACCACTGTGATCGATTCTGAGCCATGTCACCTAGAGTCTCCAACCGTTGGTTACGATAGTCGCGCAGACCCCAACCAAGTAGTATGCATCTACCAACATAGCTCAGACCAGAGATCACTGACTTTAAGGACTGATGCCACGTTTTGGTTTGGCCGACTCTAAATTTCTTCCATCCGTCTCCAACACTAGTCAGTATTACGCGTCGCGGTAATCGGTATTCAGGCATACATAACACGTGGCCCGACCATCTCAGTCGATGAAGATTCAAAACTTCATCAGCTGATTTACCATCATTCCATAATATCAAGCGTCTAACCTCACTATTACTTACCCGGTGATCCCAGCAGACACAAATAATGCTTCCAAGATATCTATGCTCAAATACTAGTAGTTCACGAGTATCTTCTACTTTTAACGGCCACGTTTCGCAACCATAAAGTAGAACAGAACGAACTGCCGCGCAGTTTACTCATTCTTTTATTGATAGACGGATATCTCGCCTTCGCCATAGGTGACGTAAGTTGGCAAAAGCCAGTCGATAAGTCGACCTGGAAGGAGATCATTTCCTTAAAATGCAGTCGACGAGAACGTTATTTCCAGGTGTAGGTTCATGATGAAATTAGGTAAAAGTGGCGGTAATGGATAGTCTTGCCCAGAACCACTTGGGATTGCACAATCAGATGACAGTTCGCCATAAGTTCTCACTCGACTGGTAGTATTCGAGTTAAGAGCCTTCACAAGGTCTACATGCTTCTGAGGTAAACCTTTCAATGACAAACTGCCACAGGACCTCTCGGTCTACAGTCAAATGCTGCTTTCAAGTCAAGGAAAACTATCATTATCGGACACCGATAAGCATGCCTGTGTTCTAAGATCTGATTAATAGTGAATATGTGGTCGATACAGCCACAACCAGGTTTGGAGCCAGCCTGATTTTCTCGTGTTTGCAGTTCACGAGTCTTTGTTAGGAGCCGAAAATTATTGAGGCTAGTATTTTAGATGCTATATTAGTCAAACTAATGTCTCTATGGTTATCATAGGATGATTTTGACCACTTGTTATATATTGGGACAATCAGAGATTGTGACTTGTCGGATGGGATTACGTCCAACTCCCAGATTTTAGCCAAAACATTAGTCAACCTGATCGCTAGAATTGGACCAACATACTTAATGACCTCTGGAGCCAATCCATATGGATCAGCTGCTCTTCCTCGTTTCAGACTAGCTATAACCTTTCGAACTTCAGCTAGCGTCGGGGGACCTACTTCAATGTTCCATTCAGACTATTTGGGAATGGTGGGTAATTGTAGAGTAGCCGAAGACCAGCTGAATTGCCCTTAAAGTATCCCGCCCATCGTTCTAAACGTTTGGTCTGAGAAATGGTTTGTGAAAATATTTAAAATGCGTTTTTTTCATCTTCTAAAATGCAAAATGTACCTCTGTAAGTGGTTTGTTACAAATGTTTGAATGTTATTTAAATAAATCAAGATAATTGAAGATATTGCCAGTCATATGCTGATGTGTAGGACCTGGCACATTTTTGATCACAATAAGTGTAGTTCTAAGCCAAGCGTACTTGATTTTTGATGTTCTTATAGGAATTATAAAATAATATGTTAATTTTCCTTTAAAAAACCTTGTGAAAACTAATTTCACGCAACTTTTCATTTTAGGCAATTATGAGCTACATTTTGGGAGACCCAAGACCCGATGTAAGTTTTATTGATATTCAATCAATGTTTTTTTTTTAAAAAAGACTATAGTTTAGTCGGACAGGTTTTGTAGAAATGGCTCTTGATGCTTGTGTTTGTCACAGATTGATATCAGCTAGAGCGCTATTGAAATTTCCGTGGTTCTGTGTTTATTAAGCATTCACTTCATAACCTGAATGTCCTAGGTTCGATCTCTGGCAGGATCAGGGTTGGATAGTGCGAAGAAGTCTAATGCTAGAACGAGACACCTGTCCTGTGCTTGTTGATTATGGTTTTATTTTATTTTATTTAAACACATAAATATTGGTACAAGGAAGCACCAGATAAATATGCGCCTCACAAATCTCATTTGATTTGTATGAGAGCTATGATACTACCCAAATGCCCAAACTGAAGCAGGTGGTTTTCTTAGGGGGCCACACCCCGAGCCTTTGACCTAAAGGTCTAACCCACAAGGCAGTGGAGCATCGTAAGGAGATGTATTCCCATGGTAGCCGGTGACCGACGATTGGTTCATACGCCATTTGTTCCCTCAGGATACTGGAGCCCATGTGCACTATTGGTTTGGGATCAGGGTTTTCCAACTCCCCTAGGTGGATTTTCCGTGTTCACCAACCCGGTTCGGGAGCCGGACATTCGCTTTACATCCTCTAAATTTCGTAAACAACAGTAATGTCACGAGAAGGCATTGAGTAGGACTTCCGTGACAGAAGCTATATATTTGTGTGGCCATGTGAGATCATTTGGAGAGGGAAAGCGAACTCTCCTCATTCTCGGTCGTACCAGGGCATTTGGGGGCTGATTAATCTATGACAAACACAACCAACATATAATAATAATATTAATAATACTAGAGTAAGAAGTAAATGTTTAAAATAGACATGTTTTACAAAAAATTCCTTTTATAGATCTTTACGCCCAAGTTGTAGCTCATCAATTACCATATTCGACAATTGTGTTTACTACTCAGTTAATCAACTGATTTTTCTGTTTAACACATATTTCGTACTATCGGTTAAATAATCTAACTCCAACTTTTGCATTTCCCATGTAATATAAATTGCGACATGATTTTTAATTATAATACAGTTTACCATTCTGTTTCGATCCAAACTTAATGCATGAAGATGCTTAATAAATGTTATCCAAGTGCTTAAATCTGAAATGGGTGAAACAAGTTGTAAGCTACTTACGTGAATCATTGTCAGCGAAGTCTGTAAAGTGGCATCAAAGTGGTGACAAATTTGATCCCATTGAAATGCCGTAACATGTTTCTTTATTGTTATTATTATTATTATTATTATTATTATTATTATTATTATCTGACCATCCACTTTAAAATACGAGTTGAGTAGTATTATGAGTAAAGCTTTTAACTGTCCGAGTATCTATGTTCCGCGTCAGTGTTGGAAACTAAACAAAGACATTATCGTCTGCCATAGAATCGTTACCATTTCTGTAAATGGTTGTAACTATTATTTTTGTTAAATATTCCCTAAAATCAAAGTATATCTAGTATAAATACGCCTATATACTTAAAATTTAAATCTACTGATCTTTGTAATTTATGTTGTCAATATTATAATATACAAATGTATTGTATGATGTTTAACTAATGTTTTTGGCGGCGTTTCCTTCTCTGAGATAGATGGTTCAGATGTGAAGTTTTCTTTGTTTTCCTAAGGAACATCATTAGCACTAATTTTAGGTAAAAATGAGTTTTATTCAAATTTATTCACATGTGACTGACAGCTTGTCCTACAGATTATTGTTGCGCATTGTTTGCATATTTGTTTATTTTCTACATGATTGAGGTCAAAAGGGAGGAGATAATACCCAATCAATTGTTAGTCATATGTGAAGAAATTAAAGAAAACTCACTTCTACCTCAAGTATTTAATGATAATGTTGTTTGGAAGAACAATCAAAGCTGCATAAATAAACTATCCAGCTTATAGGACGATATTCCATAAAATTCATTCATCTGAGCTACAAATCTTCCCCACCTGCTATAAGTTCCACATACTTGTTACCGTGTAAATAATAATGTTTATGTTTGCAGATAGCGCATCTATAAAATAGATTGGCATTATAATTATTTTGTTAATCCCGAATTAAAAATGTACCTTTTATATTTGAAAAACATGATATAACATGAATTTTCCCAACAATTACCAAAATGGACTTAATCATTCGACCCTATGAAGAATAAAAGGAACTTGATATTCAAATAAACATTTTCTACTCTGAACTCATGAAATTTCAATGATCTCACAGACAAAAAGAAACATTGTAACTAACTTGGTAAGCGAAGATGGATAGTGGCTAGCAGTGGAATCCAGGACGCGCACCACTTCGTCCTATTTGGGATTCATCAGCTGAATGTACCTGCATCTCAGAGTTGATGTTCACTCTGAGACTCGAACCCAGTGCCTTTCGCTTCAAACGCCATCGCGTTATCCACTTAACTACTGAGTCGTGAGAGCCACTTGCTTGTGTAAAAGGATTAAGTAAGAACAATTTCAACTTGAAAAAAAGAAAGAAAACATCTAAAGAGTACAAAGGAAGGAATAATTTAAAGCAAAGGAACATGTTATAAAATAGGCAAATTATTAAACAGTAAAGTAGCAATAATGATAATAATAGTAATAATAGTGATAATGATCAAAGCTAAGGTAAAGACTTGGGCCAACCTTTATCTAATGTATAGTTCAAAGTTTTAATTATTATTTTATGAAGAAGTGAAGAACAAAGAAGAGAAATTTAATGTTTGAATAGATTCGATAAGTAATCTTTAATTTAGTACATTAAGGCTGTATAAATGATAGGAAGATGGGACATATACATATAGATATAGATATAACGTTTAAGTAAATATACTTTTCGGAAGACTGTTTTATTTGTCCTCATATTTTCTAAAAACATCAACTTTAACTGGGCTATACAGGATAATTAAAATTAAATTGTAAACTATGTTTAATTCACTAAGGGATAATATATTCAATCATTATATTGTCAAAATGGGACACGTGTTACGTATGCCCAACCACTGACTGCCCCGACGTGCAGTGTTTTATGGTGTAGGAGTAGGTTGAAAGAAAGCTAGGGGCGGCCAGACTAAAACGTGGTACAAATCGATGAAGTCAATGACAGTTGGACTGAGCCATTCTGGTAAGTGTAGACTACCTGGTTTGGATTCGCATGATGATAGCAATCGATGGTTAGAGACCTTGAATGATATGGCTCAAAATCGTTTGCAATGTCGAAGGTGCATCCACTCTTTGTGTTCTACCGAATTCTAATTTTCTGAATTCTTCATGTCTCTATCTTTCTTCTCTTTCCCAATTTTGTTTTACTGGATTATGCTCCTTGAATAACATCTTCGAACCCTAATCTTTCACATTAATGCTTATAGTCTTACTATTTATACCAGTATGGGATTTGAATCGACAATTACATCTCTGTGGTAATGTGGCATGTCAACTCGAACTGATGTACGTACGTACGAAGTTCTACGTTGTGACTGACTGACGAAATGGACTTGAAATTCAAGGTGATATCCCTAACACACTACAACACGAATTTGTTACAGAGTTTTTATGAATATAAAGTAAGAGAAATATGTAATCTGAGTTGATGGCATTTTATTATACAGCTCTGTTATCACAGCATACACTATGTTAATCATTAACCTTATAATAATAGAGTTTTCCCTGATAAGCAATGTAAGAAGAAACTAGATAAATGGCGAAATTGGCTTAGCTACAACATTATGACTATTTCGGAATGATGTATATCATGTATTATTATATGTTTGGTTTATTTAAACGAATAAACATTTGTACAAAAGGGGCACCAAAATATATATGTGCTACACAAATCATGAAATTTTTTAATGAACTGGGATGCTACTTGGATGTCCAAACCAAAACAGATGACTTTTTCCGAAGTCTTTGACTCAGGTCTTATCTTCAAGTCAGTGGACCAACTCTAGATTTCGTATCAAGGTAGCCAATGACTAAGAACGGGTTCATACCCCATTTGTTCCTTCAGGATTCTGGAGCTCACGTTCTCTGTTGGTTTGGAACCATGGTTTTCTTTATTCATCTAAGCCTTAAATCAGTACCCACCAACACGATTAAATCACCGGACATATGCTTTTCGTCCTCCCGATTTCGTAAACAACACCTCTGTTGCGAGAAGGTAATGACCAGGACTTGTGATAGTGGCTATATACACATGACTATATGAAGTCATTTAGAGGAGAGTAGAATCTCTTCACCTTCAGCCATACCCGAGCATTTGGATGTTCTTTAAGATATAGGAATTAGGAACCAATATTTTCTTAATTGGAGAACTGTGATGTTATGATTATGAATAAACAGTATAGTGGAAGATGATTTCATTCCAATCTTTATTTTCATTTTCTTCAAAGCAGTAAAATTTCTTTCTTACAGTAATTTCCATTCTTTTCATACTTCATTTATGAAATGAATACCAAATGCGCTTCCTGGATTCTACTGCTAGCCACTATCCATCTTTGCTTATCATGCTTGTGAATCAAGGCTATATCGAGGCAATACGCACAGTATGCACATATACCAATTAGAGACTGACCAGCTGCAGTCCTAACACATCGATGGGAAAATTCAAACAAACAATACTAAATGTATTTCATACCAATTTTTTTTAGTTCCTTCTTTTCTTTATTCAAATAGATGATTTTTGATGGTTAGGGTTTTGATTCCCCTTCCTAGTCTTTAATCTTATTGTTTAATCTAATAGTCTTCTATGTATATCAACATATGCCTTTCAATATATGTATGTATATAGTTTAGCGTCAATAATTGTAATATCTTAATAATAATGGTTGTTCAACACGACTCCATTAACAGGTTTCTTAATGTTAAGTTAACTAATAGTTTCTACGGTATTGAGTAAAAGTAACTAATGACAATTAACACTATTGTGTATGAAATAGGTCAATAGCAACACCAAAA